GAACGAGAGGTCAAGGGCTGGAAAAGAAGGCAGCGTGTAGATATTCAAAACAACAAGAAGAAAATAGATTTTTCAAGGAGTAAGAACAAGGCACCGTGCAGGTCATTTTGAGAGCTATTCCGCAGGACCTTCTTTAGGCAACGATTGAGGTAATTCTTTTTATGGAATTGTAAGCTATAACATCATTATACACTAGAATATAACACCCTAATAGGGTGAATTCATAAGAAAGTTTTACAAAACCTCAAGAACACTCATCAAGTACGAGTTAGATTTTTGGTTTTTGGATGGCTATAACGGGTTAAGGTTGTTGGAGATAGTAAAGAACTGTTAGAACAAGGCCTTACCCCAAAACTTAAAAATTTAGAAGTTGAACCTAAAGTTCTTAGAGTTGAGAAAAGATTAATACTTTGGGAAAGTTGGATACTTATGGTGACTTATTGTTGTAGTATTTGATCGTTGCGTTGATTACAAGAATTGAAACTTACATTGTTGCTTGAAAGGAGAAACTGAGGAGAGTGGATATAACCCTTTACTAAAGTAGTTCTACTCACAAAAACATGCCCACAAAGTGTTCGATAAAATGCTTTAAAGAGTCAACATATGTTTAATTAGAACGAGTGAGTACATGTTGACTAAGTATATTCTAGTTAAAGATAATATATTTTACTCGAGAAGTATAGGCGTCTATTTTTCATATTTCTATACTTTATTACATGATCTTACATGTTAAGGAATCAAGAGTTAGAGAGAACTTCTAAAAATACTTTGAGTAATTTTATTTCATGCTTATGCTATATATACACTCAAGAATATTGTTATGAATATTGATAGATCACTTTCAAACAAGATTTAGACTTGAAAAGTCACAAGAAGAAGCTTTAGAAAGAAAAGATTTTTGGGAGTATCCTCTATTCTGAGAAGGGGTTATCGTCCAGGCCGAGGGTCCTGATCAAGGCATTGACTTTCTGAAACTACTTGTGCCAAAGTAGGGAGCACACGAGATGAAGGTCTCGTTGCTGAGAATTTACTTAGCCAGGCTAAGGTATGATACATGAGCGCTGAGAACCATGAAACGAGTGGCACCTCGTAATTGGGCCTATTCGATCAGGTTGGGATCGAACCCATGCCTATCACATGGTGACTAAGACATAAATAAGTCAGGATAGTTGGAACTCCCAAGTATAAAGTGAAGTATTTTTTTAAGAAAGAAAAAGAAAAGAATTTCATGTAGAATATTCATAAACTGCTATTATGCAATTATTTTAGAATTGTTCTTAGAAACTTTATGTTTTTCATGTATTTAGAATCTTTGCTCGTAATGTATATTTTATTAATGTTTCATTCCATGTCGTTGAGACTCACTGAGTACAATGGATGGTACTGACGTTCTCTTTGGGAACCTACGTTGGTCTGCGGTACAATGTTGGAACCAATTTTGTAGGCGGACAGGTTACGGGTTAGGATTTTCCTCACTTCCTGTGCTATTGGTGAGCTCCGCTTTTGTTCGTGGAGTGCACCTTTGAGTCGTCATTATTTAGCTATTTCTTTGTTTACTTAGAGAACTGGCCAGGAAATCTCATGTCATGAGCAGTGCGTTAGTGTATCAATAGAGGTTTCATAGACACAATCGGTGGGTTAAGATTCAGATGTTTTTGATAATAACTTAGCAGTATTTCAGTGGTTACTACGAATAAAATTTTGGAGTTAGTTTATTTTAGATATTTAAATTATATAAAAGTACTTGGCTAAAGTATTTCTTTGTTGCATATAAAGTTTGAAGTTACAACATATTTGATATGCGCAGATGGTTCACTCGGTGAAGTTTAGTGATCGGGTGCCGGTCACGGCTTGTTCAGAAAATGGGTCGTGACATTATCTGTCTAAGTTTTGATAGGCAAAGTTATCATGTACATAAATATACTGGTGAGAGATAACAGATACTTATAAAGGCGGATCCAAGATTCGACAGTCACGAGGGCACTATTACATTCAATATAAATTTATCACTACTTATAAAAATTGGGATGGAGGCTTCTATTTATATTTGACTATTTCTTAAAAAAATTAGCAAGTTTTCGGGTGCAGGTTACCCCTCTTCCTACAATGTAGATCCGCCTTAAAAATATTTTATGAAATAGTCGAGTTGCGTGCAAGTTAGTGCAGCTACTGTCCAACATTTATTTTGTGGTTTGTTTGTCATCTAGTACTGGATGTATGGGCTAGCACTCGCTGCTAGCTTGACAAACTTCTTGCATTTTCTCTTTGTATTCTTCTACCAACAAGAAGAAACTCGATTCTAACATGTTAAATGTGTGTATATCCATATTGGACAAGTTGCCGACGACAAAAAAAAAAAAGAAAAAAAAGAGAGGAAATTTCCACTAAATTTCTAAGACTGTTTGCAACCTTAAATGGGGAACTCTGATTCTGAGAAGGTAGCAACAGTATAAACTTCTATTTGAAGTATTATTCACTCGTCTTTGGCTGATCGTAATCATAATCTCCCAGTGAAGCTTATCAAATTAGCATAATAATTGTTAAAACTTTGATATATCCCTTCTGTATGCTTGTCCTAAATCTAAATTGTCTACTAGTGAGATTTCTCTACTTTGGGGATTCCCAAATTCTTCAAAATGGTTGTAAATTTTCAAAAACTTCTAAGTTTTATGCACTAAATCTGTAAAAATATTCACACAATAAAGTCATATATTTGATAATTACGGGTAATATCATGCTAAGCATTAATTGATAATTTGGTAAAAATGATAATTGACTATCACATGTTGAAATTTATTGAGAACGTAAATTTATTTAACATTATTGGCATATATAACTTAAGAAGTGGATAATCTGAATTTGGGAGGTTGGAAAGAGAAGAAAAACATAGAATGATACTCTAAAAAGAACGAAGGAATGTGGAATTAACGAATTTGAATGCACTCCAACACTCAAGTCAGTAATATTCATGAGAGGCAGTCGAAGCAGAAAAAGATAAAAGAATGGCTTATCCGTAATAGAAATAAGAAAGCTTACAGAAGTATAAGAAATTGTGGTTTAGTATTAATGCGTGTTATTGATTCACTTCAGGTTTTTCTTTGGCTTGCCTTTTGTGTGTGCAAATGTTCATTTTATACTTGCGCAAGACTGTCAAGGGCTTCTTTGGCTTCGGTTTGGTCAATTTAGACAGTCTTACGTTGGGATGCAAAAAGAAAACCTATAAATCGTACCAAATCGATAATTCGAATCAAATCGAAAAAAAAAATCCGATGTAGTTTGATATTGAAAAATAAAACTCGACAATAATTGGTTTGGTTTGGTTTTAACTAAAAAAAAGTCAAACCGAAACCAAACCAACCTGATAGTACATTTATATAATTTTTAAAAATATTTTATACATATAAATATTTATTGTAATGTAATTTATAAATATTTCTTAAACTTTTTCACAGTTTTATCTTTTAACATCTTATTTCAAGTTTAGACTTAACATTCTTGAATGGTAAATAAATTGTAAAGCCCATAAATGTAGCAACTCAAACAAAGTTCAAATCAATACTAATGCTAACAAAAGAAATTCAATTCAATACTTAGAATGACGGTAGTGTTGGATAATTATTTTAGTTTTACATTGGTTTATAAATAAAAATGCATAACTTAGTTTATCTTTTTCTTTAGTGCTTAGTTATGTAATTAATTTTAGTACTTATTAGCTATACTTATTTTAGCATGACCTATATAGTGTTTTTAGATTATGTTAATTTTTATTCTGGCTTATTAATTAGCTATATCTGTTTTATGTATAATGCCATGACTTATCTCATATTATTGTGTTAGTTCCTTGGAAAATACATTATATAGTTATATTTTACTAGGACTTAAGAAATATTTGGAGCACAAGTTACATATTTTATGCTATGAAGACTTTACCGGAAAAAATCCGAAAACCCGAAAACCCCGAGAAAAATCGAGATTGAAAAACCCAACTTTGTTGGTTTGGTTTGGTTTATAAATTTAAAAACCCGACACCATTGGTTTGATTTGATAATTGAAAAATCCGAACCAACCCGATCTATGTACACTACATAACTATATAACTATTTTCAGTTATTACCGTTCTTCGAAAGTAATTACTCTAGAGGCTAGTACATATTNCGCAAGACTGTCCAGGGCATCTTTGGCTTCTGCTTGGTCAATTTAGACAGTATTGTCAATTATTACCGTTCTTCGAAAGTAATAATACTCTAGTACATATTCTGTGTAACTTGCGATGGATTGCCAATCAACATTTATGCCATAGAGGTCAGAGGGGATTGATATCCCTACAGGAAGTGCACATGCTAAGAGCCTGATTCTAGAGTAACGAATCTGAGCTCGGTTGTACCTTGATATATGAGATAGTGAAATAATAGAGGTGTGCGCAAGCTGACAATGAGGCAACTCGTTCTTGAGCCTCGACCTCCAGCTATGCTTGAACTCCAATACTCCTTCCCCTAAGGTACTTAGCCAAATTGAATTAGAATCTTCCAAGTTCGTATACCAACTGCCATAGGCAACAACTGCATTTGGTATTACACTTATTTTCTGAAGATGAGCCCTTCCGGCTCAAGCAAATTAAATTTGAATGACAACGGAATAATACCAATGATTGACAATT